GTGATGTTTTCTCAATATATAATTACTTATTGATATAAAGTTCTCCTTACACATATATGAGTGTCACTGGATTTATTTCCCTAGTCAACTGGCCTAAAACAGTGATCCAGACACTGTTTCATGTTCTTTAAAATCCATCCAAACCAACAGCCATCAAGACATCACTGATTTATTGTGACCTATAGGACAGAGTAGAACTTCTCGAACTGCTCCATAGAAATTTTGGGATTGTAAATCTTTTCAGTCTCTTCTTTCTCCTGTGGAGGGACTGGTGGATTTCAAGCACCAACTTTCTGATTCATAGCCCAATGCATAACATGCTGTTCCACCAGGGCTAGTTCATTTATGTGCTTTATATGATTTTAATTCTCACAACTTTATCATTTGATATGATCATGCCAATTTTATGGATAAGGAAATGAGGCTAGCAGAGTTGATGACAGCTGGTTGGCTAACTGACTGGAAAAGATCCATATTTGTACCCATTCCAAAGAAAGACGACCCAACAGAATGCCCAAATTCTAGAACAATGTCACTAACATCACAAGCCATTCAAATTTTGCTAAAGATCACCCCAAAATGGTTACAATAGTACATTGACAGGTTGCTTCCAGAGGTTCAGATCGGGCTCAAAAGAGGACATAGAACAAGAGATATTACTGCTGATGTCAGACTGATCCTGACTGAAAGCAGAGAATACCAGAAAGATGTTGGCTTGTGTTTTATTGACTCTGTGAAGGCATTAGATTATGTGGTTTATAGGAAACTATGGAGAAGCTAGAGAAGAATGGGAATTACAGAACCCTTCATTGTGCTCATGAGGAACCTGTCCGTGGATCAAGAAGTAGCTGTGCTAACAGAATAAGGGAGTACTGCATGGTTAAACATTAGAAAAAGTGTTTTTAGGGTTGTATCCTCTTACCATATTTATTAGCAACATGCGATATTCTGATGAACAACCTGGCTTGCTGAAATTTAGGAGATCTTGAAGCACTTGCTGATGAAGATCAAGAATTTCAGCTTTCACTGCCATGGCCCAGTTCTAACTTACAAATCTGACTAGACTGGAGAACACACATTGGCACAGATAAGAGCTCTCGACACATGGAATTCAGGAAAGATAAACCCCTCAGAACAGTAATGGGAGTAGTGATATCATGAAGGTAGGGAGATGTCCAGGGAGGGGGAGGGGTGAGAAAGAGGGAACCCATCACAAGATTGAATGTGTATCCCCCCCCTTCGAAGGGGACAAAGGGAAGAAATGTGGGTGAGGAGAGACAATGGACAGTGTAAGATATGTAATAACAATAACAATATATAATTGATCAAGGATGCATGAGGGCAGGAGGGGAAAAGAGAGGAGCTGATACCAAGGGCTCAAGTAGAAAATGTTTTGGAAATGAAGATGGCAAAGTATGTACACATATGCTTTATGCAATTGTGATCAATGGAGAGAAGGTTGAAGTTATCAAGGATTTTGTCTTGCTTAGATCCACAATCAATGCTCATGGAAGCAGCAGCCAAGAGATCAAAAGATGAATTGCATTAGGTAAATCTGCTGCACAAGACCACATTAGAGTACTGAAGGATGTAACTTTAAGGACTAAGGTGTGCCTGACCCAAGCCGTGGTATTTTCCATTGCTTCATATACATGTAGAAGTTGGACATTGAATAAAGAACACCACAGAAGAATCAGTGCATTTGAATTGAGATGCTGGAGAAGACTATTGAAAGTACCATGGAGTGCCGAAAGGACAAACCATCTGTTTTGGAAGAAGCTTGGCTTAGATGAAGAATGCTCCTTCGCGACAAGAATGGTGAGACTTCATCTTGCATACTTCGGACATGGTATCAGAGAGATCAGTCCCTGGAGAAGGACATCATCTTTGGTAAAGTAGAGGGGCAGCAGAGAAGAGGAAGGCCCTCAAGAAGATAGATAGACATGGGGGCTGCAACGATGGGCTCAAGCACAGGAATGATTGTGAGGATGGTGCAGGACCAGGCAGTGTTTCATTCTGTTGTGTGGGATGTCAGTGTGGATTGTAACCTACTCAACGGCACCTAACAGCAATAACAGGATGAGGAACATTGTAGCACTTGGTAGAGCCAGGATCAGAACTTCTCTGACCACAGGGCTTACGACCCTCCCTGGGGTCACATTGTTTCTCTGTTTGGGATTCACATTCCTGTGTCTTTCTTACTTTAGATATTGATTACTCTTGCCACAAATTCTGAACTAACAAAATTTAAACAGCAAAAAATGAAAAGTAAAAAAATTTAACTTGATCTCTCTATATCTCTATATCGGTCTATCTATCTATCTATCTTTCTATCTATCTATCTATCTGCCAAAAGTCCTCTAGTGTCAACGTCATCTTCAAGGAATTTTACAAGTTCCTTTAGAACCAGGAACATTGAGGTATCTCATAGAATCTAATCAACACTTCACTAGTGATCCTAGACAATGCAATGAGACTAGAAAATGTAGTAATTAAGATTCATTGGAAAGGAAGTGAAAATGTAGTGGAAACTACAAGTATGGTGAGAGGATGCAACCCTGACCCACAGCTTTCCTGGTTTTAAACCCTGCAGTGTGCCCTTGCTCTGCTGCACAGCTTCCTCTGGATCCATGTACAACGACCTCAGGAGCACGATGAAGTGTTGTGGAATTCCCATTCTTCTCAAGGTGATCCATAGTTTTTTATGGTCTGCACAGTCAAATGCCTTGGCATCGTCAATAAAATGTAAGTAAACATATTTCTGCTATTCTCTGCTTGGAGCCAAGTTCCATTGGATGGCAGTAGAAATGATGACCTAGGGGGATGATTGATCATTGTCGTTTTCTAACACAAAACGACAAGGATGTCTCTAAGGTGAACTAGAGACAAATATAAACCGTAGATGTATGAGTGATTTGGGGGCTTGCACTTACTTCTGGCCCCACACGGACTTCCTCTCCGTGCACTTGTTTATATCTTCTCTTCTTATAAGGAATCAGATTTAGTGCTACCCTAAATCAGGATTTGTTCTTGAGCTCCATAGCTAATTACTCTACAATCACCTAATTCTGAATAAGGTCACATTCTGAAGTTCTGTATAGACATGAATTTCGAGGGAACACTAGGCAACCCACTAAAAAAACAGAAATGTTTTCCATAAAAGCTATAGCCTCCCATGGGGATGAATAACAGAAATATGGTGAAGGGAGACAGTGGACAGTGTAGGATATGAAATAACAATAATAATATATAATTTATCAAGGATTCATGAGTGTGGGGGTGAGGGAGGGATGGGAGAAAAGAGGAGCTGACACTAAGGGCTCAAGTAGAAAGAAAATGTTTTGGAAATGTTGATGGCAACATATGTACAAGTGTGCTTAATACAATTGAATGATGGATTGTTATAAGATTTGTAAGATGATTAATAATAATAATAAAAGAACAAAGGGGGGGGGAGCTGTACCAGTTTACATGCCCACCACAAATGTATGAGGGTTCCAGATACTTGTCATTATTTAGTTTTTTTTATATTCCAGTGGGTGGGAAGTGATTCATTGTGATTCACTTTTAATTGATGTGAGGTGATGTGGTGTGAAGTAGGAGTTTAATTTCATTTGCTTTACCTATGACCACAGTCAGCATACAGCAGTTCCATCAGCTGGGGGGAAAAACAAGTCTTCCTTGTACAATCCTGGGGCAGTTACATAATCTCCTGTCAACTTGTGAAGGGGTGGAGTCTAGCTTGTCAATCAGGTCGCAGCTTGATGACCTCATTTGGAGGCATGCAGGAGATAAATATCTCACTGGAGGCCAGATACACTCTCTGCTTAACTCCCTAGGAGACATTCTTATTGACAAGCCACGTGGAGCTACACTGATGGAGCCAGAGCCCTGGAGCTGAAGGACCCACGTGGAGAACCCACACCAGTGCTGAGATGCGTCCACCACCACTGAATCCACAAGACACTCCACCCACTGTCCTGTGATCTTCCTTCATTCAGTGTCATTGCATGTACTGCGTGAGTCTGAAGAGGAATTTATAGACTGGTATCTGACATACGGGCTATTATCCGATTTACGGACTTGATCTGGATTGGGCTGGAATGTTTTCTTAATATACAATTGCTCTTTTATATAAAGCTCTTTCTTATACAGATATGAGTGTTTCTGGATTTATTTCTCTAGTCTACTGGGACTAACACAAATCCTTTGGTAGCCCTACCTTCCCAACTTGCCTGGCAACCACAGATCTATTCTCCATCACTGGGGTTTCGAACTCTGAGAATGTTATATTAAACGGAATCATCCAGCAAGTCCTCTCCTGAGACTATAGGTGAACTTTAATCTAATTTGTATTTACCCTTACAATGGAGGGGCCTGATTTGCTTTTCCCTGAGTGAAGTGAGGCTGATGGCAGGGGTGTAACAGGTAGCCCGAGGCCCAGCATCCACCGAGCTCAAGGACAGAGAGGCATGTACGTGACGGAGCCATTGTCCAGGAACCTGAACTTCACAGGGCAGAAAACCAAATCTTCGGCCACCAAGTGGAGTCTGATTCATAGCGATCCTAGGGCCGGAGACGGTAAATGGAGGGTCTGAAAGGCCAGACGCTGCGGCAGTCAGCAGCCTCCCAGCGCTTATGGCACAGCGCCGCCCAGGCTCCGTAGACGGAGGGAAAGCCAGGCTCCCAGGTTGAGTGCGGGGCGGGCCGAGCTCGCAAGCCCAAGGCGGAGTCCGAGCGCTGTCTGGGAGGCTGATGGATGCCTGGGCTTCTCCTGAGTGCATTGGCCAAGCAGAGTCCACTCGGGAGCTGCGATCCGTTTGATGGATAGGCGTTTGGGGCGACTGGAGAGGCTGTCTCCACAATGGCTATTGTCCGGGTCCGGGTGGGAAGCTCTTGCGACGACCAATGGGAGGCGGCGGCTGCGAGGATTCTGGGGCCTGTAGTTCTCGGGTAGTTCCGCAGGCAGTGTCTGGATGGACGCCGAGAGGCCCGCACTGGTCCTTGACCCCGGCGTCTTTTCCCACGAACCCGAGGGTCCTGCCCCCGCCGATCCCGGAGCGTGCTTTCCCGCGAGGTGAGGAGCACCAGAAGGGGGTGGTCTTAGCGTTGGGATCCGAGGTGGACTTGGCTGGCAGCGGGTGGGGCTGGTGGTGGGTGGAGGGGCTTGGCACCGTGCATTCAGCGCCTACAGGTTTCGGGGTGTTTTTGGAAAAGGAGGCGCGGCTCAAGACGCGCATTTGTGGCAAAGAAATTTAGATAAGACGCAGCCTTCAATCGCTGAGTTGCAATCCTCTGCGCAGACCTGAAGGAGGCCTTGTGGCGCAGTGGGATGGGTGTTAGGCGTCGAACCAGCAGCCTCTGCGCAGGAGGAAGATAAAGAAGTCTGCTTCTCTAAAGATTGACAGCCTCGGAAACCCTGTGGAACAAGTCCGTTCTGACCTATAGGGTCGCTCCATGGGGCTGAGCACACCTACCTTCTGCCCCTGGATGAGGCCAGAGAGAGAGTCGTCCGGAACTTGGGATTTCTTGGGTGGGATTATCCTGGACCAACAATTCCCCAATCGAGAGCTCCTGCATTCCCGTTGTTACTGCGGGGATGAGATCAGCCAAGGGCAAGCAGCCTACCATTGTTAGTGGGGCCCCAGAGAGGGCGGTAAAACCCGAATTCTTTCGGTGGGGAGTGCTTACTTGGCCCTGCATGTCCGAGGCTTGGTGGGGAACCGGGGTTTATCGCATTGAAGTTATGTTTGCTTTCGGTGGGGCCTGAAGCCTTCCCAGGTGGCGGGACCCCAGGGACGATGCAGCGGTATCTCAGGACCTGTTGTGTCTTGGTTGCTTGCTGGAGGGGCTTGGGGGTGAGAAGATCATTGGGAGTCAGCTCAGTACTGTTTCACTATCCTTAGGGAGTCGTGGGAGAGTTTCTTGGGTCTGGAAAGGTGTGTGTGGCGGGGTGGTGGGGTGTCTTAGGCCTGGGACTGACTGTGGAAGTACTCCTGTCCTTTCTAAAGAGGTTCCAGGACCAGCATCTAGACGGGTTCCTTCTGAGCAGGGACGGATCTGCGTCTCGCAGGACCCTCTCTACTTGCTGAGGAAGATCTCAGCTTGGTGTATTGTGGTTGGTCATTTGGCCAATCTCCTTGTCGTCTGTTTGCTTCGGTCGGGACTCCTGCTGGCAGGCAGTCTTGGTGGGGTGTTGCAGAAAACTCCGAGACTGACTATCTAGATCACTTCTGGACTCTCTGGTGGTGGCTAGGTCTCAGGATTTTAATTTAAAAAAAAGATTTATTAGGAACAGATTTCGAATCTACTCTTTAGAATAGTAGGTAGTTCGGCAGCAAGGTAGGTTTGTCAGGCAAGCATTAGATGCCGCTGTAAGGACAGTGGTTCAAGCCCACCAGCCACTCTGTGGGAGAAAGGTGGGGCTAGTTGCACCTATAAAGATTTAAAATCCTGGGTAGGGTCACCGTGAGTCTGAGTTGATTGGATGGTGGTGGGATATCTTGCTTCATCTATATGCCCTCAACCTGACTGGATACTCTGAGAATTTTCTCACCCCACAGGGGTCAGTCAATACTGACATTGTCACTGACCCAACTGGCTAAAACGATGGCATTCCACAGTGGCTGAATCTCAAATATAACACATGAGCTTTTGTCAGCTTGAGCAAGAGATATAACCTCTGTGTGCCCCAGTTTATCACAGATCCTCACTCTTGGGACTTTTGAGAGACAGACTTGTATAGTGCCTGGAATTGTTTCTGGTATGTAGTGAAAGTTAAGTAAGCAGTTAACAATTTTTAATATGCTCCCAGCTGTCTGAAAGTTTGTCATAATGTGATGACTTGGGAATTCCTGTGAGGCTGGAAGCTCTGCCAGTGGCATTTCAAATACCAGCAAGGTCACCCGTGCCACCCATACCCCGGACCACCCCCTGGCCTCGAGAGGTGGGTAGACCAGCACCGAATGGGGACTTTGTCGTTCTCGTCCCCACCACCCACGGTGAACAGATTTGAACAGAGCTTCCAGGCTAAAAACAGATTAAGAAGAAGGAATTGGCAGTCCACTTCTGATAAATTAGCTGCTGAAATCCTTATGAAAACAGTGGGTCTTCATCCGATTTAGTGTCGGCAGATGAGCCCCTCAAGTTGGAAGCCACTCAAGCTATGACTGGGGAAGAGGTGCCCCTGTATGCAGAGCAGCCCTTAAGGATGCGGCTGGAGCAAAGCAGTCAGGAGCCTCAGTTTGCTAAGGTGCATGACTCGAGACTAGCAGAGAGAGCGACAAACATCCCTTAGTAATTGACACATGGAATGTACAAAGTACGAGTCTAGGGAAATTGAAAGTCCTTAAAAGTGATATGGAAAGCATAAAGATTGTGACCCCAGATATCAGCGAGCTGAAAGCAGTTGGTATTGACCATTTTGAGGTGAACAATTACATGGTTTACTGTGCTCAGAGTGACAACAATGATGTCGTATTCGTTGTCAATTTTCTTTTCAAAATTTATTTTGACGTCCAATGCTGTCTGTGATAGGGTATTATTTGTAAGAACGACCAGTTACTACTACTGCAGTTCAAATGCACCCCCAATTGCTAAAACCAGTGAAGAAATTTAAGAATTCTGACACTTTTTCTGTCGAAATGGATCAAACACATACCAAGATGCTGACAATTACTGGCGATTGAAAAGCGAGAGTTGGGAAGTAAGAGGCAGGGTAAGTAGTTGGAAAATATGGCCTTGGTGACCGAAGCAGCCTTGGAGACTGCACAATAGAATTTTGCAAATCCAATAACTTCTTCATTGGAAATCACCATTTTCAACAACACAGCGAGTGATCATACGTACAGAACTCACTCGGTGGAAAGCACGGGAAACAAATGGACGACATCTGTGGGAAGAGAAGCTAGAGACGCTCAGTACCATCAGCCAGTACGAGGCCAGATGCTGACTCTGGAACACACACGTTCAGAACATGAGAACACATCCATGACAGCCAAGTGACAACCTGGTATATCCTACCTGAATATAGAGACCATCTCCAGAACAGATTTAACATACTGAACACTAATGACCGAAGACGAGGCGAGTTGTAGGCTGACAGGAAGAATATCATATATGAAGAAAGCAAAAGATAAGTAAAAAGACAAGAAAGAAAAATGCAAAATATGTGCCAGAAGAAACTTTGAAACTTGCTCTTGAACACAGTAGCTAAGGCAAGTGCAGGGGTGGCTAGAGAGCTGGCCGTGTAGCCATGTAGCTGTTTATTGGCTTAGAGTAGTGATGAATGCTTCCAGCTGTCTGGAAGAGACCCATATTGGGGCCCATTCCAAAGAAAGATGATTAACAGAATGTGGTAATTACCAAGCAATATCATTAATATCACATGCAAGCAAAATGTTGCTGAAGATCATTCATCTGGGTGCAGCAGTATGTCAAACCAGATTCAGAAGAGGATGTGAAACAGCATTTATCCTTACTGGCATGAGATGGATTTGTGATGAAAGCAGAGAATACCAGAAAGATGTTTACATGTGTTTGATTGACTATGCAAAGGCATTTGATGGTGTGAATCATAAACATGTAGAAGAATGGGAATTCTAAAACATTTTACAGAGCAAGAAACAGTTTGAACACAATAAGAGAGTACTGTGTGGTTGCAAATCAGCAAATGTGTGCATGTCATCTTTGTATCCAGTGGTGGGATTCAGTCAATTCGAACCTGTTCGGCAGAATCAATACCTAATTTTTGGTTGAGTTTGGCCAACGGTTGTTAAAATGGCATTTGTATCAGGGTTCTCTCTAAGGTGTGTGGCTGGGCAGCCACCCGATGTATAAATCACAAGTCTATACTGCTTACTCCTTTTTGATGTTCATCTGCACAACAGCGTACTCTAAACCCCTGTAGTAATGTTCATTCCATCCATAGGTGTAAAAAATTACAGACAGACCTATGCTTGTAATGTTTATTCATTTCATAAATCTTGCTATACTTTTGATGAAATATTACATTTTCATCCCCCTGCCTTGGCCATTTCAGTTAACAAACATATAACATGAAGAGAAAAAGTGCCAAACAATTAGAGGGTGACACATTGTCATTTGATTCAACTTTGTGTTATGCCCCATAAATCAAGGTGATACCATGAGTGAATTATGCAATTCCTCAAAGTGTTCAAAGAGCTAAGAATAGTGTCAGAACAATTACTGTAAGATCAGCAGAAGCAGAAAGGGGTTTTTCAAAGATGAACATGATACATTCAGAGAAGAGAAGTCACCTGTTTCCAATAGATCAAACACAATGACTATTGTCTAATTGGCCTACTTATAAAGGAATGAGCTCCTTCTCCTACAGTGAAAAGATGATGAAGGGTAAATCATTCAGCCCATGATGCGCAGATAAAGTGAAGAATATTAAAAATGAGGATGCCAATCAAGAAGCAATATCAAAATATCTTAAATGCAGTTTTGTTTTTTGTCAGGTTTTATTTAAGTACTAACTGTGTAACATAATAAACTACCTTTCTCTATATAGTTTTTTATCCTTAAAACAGTCCTTAGGGCAGGAAACCAGTCGTTATAATATTTGGACCCCACCCCTGGTTGTTGTCTTTTATCCTACTTATTCAGTCTGTATGCCGAACAGATGCTTCAAGAAGCTAGACAATATGAAGATGATCAAAGCATCTGGATTGAAGGAAGACTCATTAACAACCTGCAACATGCATATGACACAACTTGCTGGCTAAAAGCCAGGCACACTTACAGCACTCCAGTATGGATTACAACTCAATGCAGAGAAAACAAATATCCTCACAACTGGACCAATAGATATCATCATGATAAATGTAGAAAGGGTTGGAGAAAGTCAAGGATTTTATTTTGCTTGAATCCACAATCAACACTCATGGAAGCAGCAGTCAAGAATTAAAGAGGTGTGATACATTGGACAAATCTGTTGTGCAAGTCTCTTTAAAGTGCTACAGAGCAAAGATGTTCCTTTGAGAACAAAGGTGTCTGACTCAAGTATTTCCAATCACGTCATATGCATGTGAAAGCTGGACAGTTAATAAGGGAGACCAGAGAAGGATTGATATAGTTTGGTCTTAGTGAATACTGAAAGTTCCCCGAATGGCCAGAAGAACAAACAAATCTGTCCTGATGAAGTATGGCCAGAATATTACTTGAAAATGACGGTGCAAGACTCCTTCTCACATACTGTAGACATGTTATCAAGAGACGCCAGTCCCTGCAGAAAGGACATCGTGTGAGGAAGACCATCAAGGAGATGGATTGACACAGTTGTGTCATCAGACTTGAAGGTTATTAACAAGCCTTCCTCCAATCCTGATGCTGGCCTGGAGTTTCTGGGTAGCACAAATAATTAAGGTCTCCACTCCTAGCAGAAAGGTTGGCAGAGTGAGCCCAGGTGGATGCCCTTCAGAACATAGTCCTGACAGTCTGCTTCTGGAAGATCACAAACGAGGTCACTGTGCAGAGGGTAGGCCTGTGGTTATGTGGATTACCTTTCTGGCCAGGGTGTTTGAGGAGCTCCTAACATCATCTGCCTTTAATGACCACATGAGTGGAGGACTTTGACTGAGAGAGTGGCATTCATCCATAGATATGGAAGGTGGAATGCTATCTTTGCAGAAGTCATTGTGAGACCTGAAGAGACTCTGTTCAGATCCCTAAGCTCCTCATTGTACAGGGACACAGAGAACTGAGCCTTGGATTTGAACCAGCTGGAACCTTGCATGAGGATAGTCGGGCTGACTGCTGCATGCCATGAATTGTCTGCAAGGAGAGGCCAGGGGCTCTTTCTCCATAGGCACTAGACTCTATTCTGTCTTCTCTCTGACTACAATGACAGAAAATTATCTTGGACTTGGAACTTGAATCTGAGGTGTAGGGACAAAGTTGGGAATAGCAAATTTTGACAGATAAAGGAGAATGTCAAGGAAGAGACCAGAAATGAATAAAGGTAGTATGTCCCAAGAACCTGAGTCAACTGGACTCTGGCTGTTGAGTGAGGTGGGTGTGAGAGGCCAGGATTCTGGTCGGAGAGGCCTGGGCTTAGAGCACGCTTATCAAGTTTGTTCTCCATCCCACAGGTCCCGGATGCCTGGAAACCAGAGGGACTTGTGCGATTGAGGTTTGAAGACACCGTCTTGCAGTGAAACGGAAATCACTTTCAACTGGGCCTATGGCAGAATTTCGAGGTCGTCCCTGGACTGAATCTGGGGCCTTTAGGTTGCCTGATCCTTCTGCCCGGGGAGAGCAGGACTGGGAGTGGATTTTCACTTCAAAGAGCAGGGAGGAGGTGAAGCAGACTCAAAAGCATAAGACAAAAGGTGAGGGTTATTAAGGATCTGTCTGGAGGGGTGAAGGTAGAGGGAAGAACTCAAGGCTCTGGGCTCAGGTGAGGATGCGTTCATGGCCACGACTGAACCCCGTGGCTACTTCATCTCATCCCGTGGCTCCGAAGAGCTGCTCCAGGGGCCTTGTGGGAAGTCTGTTGACTCATAGCTTGTCTTTCTCCCTTTAGATTTGTCTTCTAAGGATAAGAACTGGTCCCCAGAGGGGAAGAGGAAGCCCACAATACTGGTGGGTAAAAAAAAAAAAAAAATTACTTTATTTTCTGAAACGCTAGCTCATTTCGCAGCGAATAGGCATACTGTATATTCTTTGTTTGTTTAAAATCATTTTATTGGGGGCTCTCACAATTCTTATCCTAATCCATACATCCATCCATTGTGTCAAGCACATTTGTACATTTGTTGCCATCATCATTCTCAAAATATTTGCGTTCCACTTGAGCCCTTAATATCAGCTCCTCATTTTCCCCCTCCCTTACCACTCCCCCTATTCTTTCTTTTGAGAAGACAGAAGTTGATCAACCTTTGGGCATTACATGCCTTTTTATCAGGTACCATTTTAAGCATTTTAGAATGGTTTCTTCCAGGCGACTTAGAGATTATTTTGAAAAGCTGAGATTGTTAAATTCTCAATGTGTCCTATTCAATGTAATTTTATATCCATGTACATACTATTTAATGACACCATCTTATATACCGGGCATCTTTTTAATTTTTTATTTCTTGAATATTTTAAACATAAAGACATAGAGCACATAATGAAAATAAGTGATCAGGGACCGTCGTGTCATTTCAACAGTCACCTGTGATGGCCAGTCTTATTTACAGGAATATGAGTGTGTCGATAAGCCTCAAATTTTCAAATGGAAAATACCCAAATACCTCTTTTCCCACTTCTTTGTTCCGTTCTGACACCAGCTGCCAGTACAGCACTTCTTTGTCTGATCCTCCCCCTGGGCATGGGTCAGATCTCACAAGTTGAAAGGACACTATTCATGCCAGACCGGCCGATTCTAGCCACGAGGACCAGAGTCCATACAACACCCTCACTTCTGACCAGGTGGTTGCAAATCTGAGGTGTCCTCCATCCCTTTTGGATGCCAGCCATAAGTTTGGGAATGTCCCCTGGGCTCCTTTACTTCAGACCTACTGGCTACAATTCAGGGTTGTTGTGTTTTTCTCAGTCGCTCCAGACGGGAGGGGTGATGCTAGCTCAAAGGGTGGAAGTTCTCCCAGGGGCTCCCTGACTTCTGACCCATTGCCTTTTATTATTCCTTTAAGTTTGAAAATATGCTGGAATGACTCACAGAATTTTTTAAGTGTTCTATTTGTAATCGCAGCTTTTAAAATAGAAACAATAAGGATATAAATAGAGATACATTGGGCAAGGTCCGGGACGATCCCCACTAGACGGCTTCCATGCCCCATAAAGGATGTGCTGTCATCTCAGGCGCATTGATATCTTTCACCAACCGGGGAAGGATGCGTTGTCCTCTCAGGCGCATTGATATCTCTCACCAACCGGAAGCTCCCGGAGCTGCTGAGTCCAGAGCTTTTGTTGACTTTGTTTTTAGACTACAGGTTGTTTGCTTGTTTTATTGTTTATATATATACATATATATAAAACATTGGCCAATTCAAGATTTTTAAAAAGATTATTATTAATTGGGAGGTAATACATATATCATATCATTCCATAGTTCATCACATCAAGCAGTATTGTACAATTGCTACCACAATCCGTTTCCATAAAATTCTTTTCCTTCCTGGATTCCTTGACATCATCTCCCTTATACACACCCCCACCCCACCACCCCGCCCCACTGTACACGCCCAAACCCTTATTCTTCTTGCGGCTGACTTTCTTACACAGTCGCGATGGATTGGATCAGCTCATCCCTGCTTTAAGGTTAACTCCACTCTGAAAGACGTGATTTGCCTCATTACTAATGATGATGCTATTGAGGTAGGTAGTGATCTGTGAACGGAAACGCTAACAGAAGAGTTTGTATGTGGTGGAATTACAGTTAACGTGCTATATATAGTGTCTGAAATGTGAACTATCTTGTTCGGCACTGGGGTTAGTTAACAAACTGTGGTAACTGAAATTCGTGTGTATTGGAACTGGGCCAAGTGAGGAGTTCAAGCATTCTAAAAGAAATTAATTATAAATTGCATTTCAATAAAGTTTTTATAGGAGCCCTGGTGGGGTAGCGATTAGGTCCTCAGCTACTGACCGAATGGTTGCAATTCAACCCCCCCAGCTGCTCCCCAAAAGAAACACCTGGTGGTCGGGAAACCTCCGGGGCCATTCTGCTCCACCCCAAGGGTCCCTATGAGTTGGAATTGACTCAAAGCAAAAGTCTTTGTTTTTAAGGATCAAATTATCTGTCAATGCCCCTTTCCTGCAATATCTCTGCTATTCTCTTACTTCCTGTGATGGATGGATGAGGTGCTGCTCTGCATGAGCACGTTGTTAAAGACCTCACTGGGGAAGCTCATTAAGGTGAAGATACAAAGTAGCGGTGTCACGGGCCCCATTTCGTGGCCTGGACTCGTCAGCAATGCTCATTCCCAGCTCCATCTGTTCTCTCCCCTTTCCTCCAGAGTGAAAAATTCCTCCCGTCCTTTTAATCTTCACCATCCCTGACTGCTTAGCACAAGTCCCACCTCCTTGACACCTTTTGATGTTTTCTTGTCCACCCTAACCTCCGTCTTTGAATTCATCCCTAGGAATTCTCGAAGTCACTTTCTTTCTGAATATTGCTTAGCGCTTTCAGACTGATTCACGAAGCATTTCCCCAGTGATGCCAGACATATTTGAGGGCCAGGATGTATTTTGTCCAGTGCATGTGCTCCCACCGATTTTAGAACAAGGCCAGGGAAGGACCTGATACGGAGACTGGTGTTCTGTGCTAGGAAATAGTTGAGCTTCTTCAGACAGAGACTCGTTAAGGGCCACCAGTGAAGCCCTACTGATCGGGAAAATTGATGTGCTGAGCATTGAATCATTGCTTCTCCCAGGAGCCGGTGACATTCGAGGACGTCACCGTGGTCTTCACGGAGGCCGAATGGAAGAGGCTGAGCTCTGAGCAGAAGAGCCTCTACAGAGAAGTCATGCTGGAGGTGTACAGGGATCTGCTTTCCTTGGGTGAGGATAAACTCTTCTTTTCCTTTATAATAATGCAGCAGGCGTTTGTTGACCACCTACTATGTGCCAGAAGTATCCTGGTGGTAGTGGTGAAGCACTTGACTACCAACCAAAAGGGCAGCTGTTCTAACCCACTCAGTAGGAAAACGATGTGACCATCAGCTTCCATAAAGATTTACAGCAATGGGCCTGGGAGCTCGGGAGCACAGTCTCGGGGGACATTGGCATCAAGGTCGACTGGCAAGGTCTAATTTACAAAAACAGGATGTTAGCTCACAGGGTTCTGAAAAACTTCTGAGTAGCTATCTAAACGTGTAATTAGTGGTCTCTCCCCATGTGGAGCCAAAAAGAGTGAAGAAAATCAAAGATGCGTGGAAACAATTAGCCAAACCCCACACTCAGTGACCCCGAGATCAGATTTACATAGTGAAGAAATAGATTGTTTCTGGAGAAACGATGAACCGAAAAAGCGAAGGAATCAGAAGAAAGCGTGAAAATGATGTGGGGCATTAACAAGAGAAACAAACTTACATCTCATTGGGATCCCAGAACACGAAGGAACAAAAGAATCTGCCGAGAAAATATATACAGTAGATGAGGCACAGCAGCAAAACCAAGTGCATAGACAGGGCCTTGGTCTTCGGGCCCTCAGAGGGAGACAGCCGAGTGATGTGGGCTCGGGGCTTTGCTCGCAGGTTAGGTTACCTCCAAGCACTTAATCAGAGTCTTCCAGTTGAAGCTTACTGGTAATGTGAAGTAAATCTGGTGTAGTATTAAATTAAAAAAATTGGCGCTGGGGAGGGAAGGGTGAAGGGGCCATTGATACTCTCTATGAGTTCAGTAATACTACTTCTGGGTTCAGTAATGCACAATTGTACGGTTGAGATATATAAGTATTATATTAAAGTCATCGAGAGCATGAGAGATAATACAATGATACAGTCAGACACGTTACATGGCAACATTGCTCACCTCAGCCCAGCTTGGTGGTCCATGTAGAGAGAAGGGGAAGGGAAGGAGGGGAAGGGAACAAGGGAGAGGGGAGTGACCGGGGAGTGAGCAGCAAGGAGCTCAAAGTCAGAGAGAAAGATCTATATTGCTGGCTCACACCTGTAATCCTTTTGGGGGCAAGCCAGCCAATGGGAAGTTTACTTGATGTGTCAAAAGGACTGTTGTTGATTGGCGAGAGGCCAATTGGGTTGTGTATTGTCAATGACAGAGATGCCAATAAAGGTGTTGCTGGTTACCATTGATTCCAACTCCTGGGATCCCTGTGTGCTCCTAAGGGCTTTCAAGGCTGGGACTCTCCGAAGCGCATGGCCAGGCCTACCTGTTAAACTACCGACATCTTCCTGGGAGTTGAGTGCTAACTGTGCCACCCAAGAAGCCCACCCATGAGACAGCATTGTCATCAGAGAAGGCAGGACAGCCATGCAGCCCCACTGTGGCTATTCTAACCAGACACTTTCTCTCTTCAGCAGATCCAAAGCCAGCCATCTATCCTGATCCCTCCAGCCTTCTGCCTCTCTTTGGTCAGCCGTTCCTCAGCCAACACGTGCTTCAGATCGTCCCAGGCTTCTGTGCAGAAAATTACTTCCATCCAGGGGGGTGCAGCCCAGGGCAACAGAAGCAGCCGGAGCAGCAGGAGTCTCCTCAGAGCTGCAGGAGTGAGAACACAGAAAATCGGGAGAGAGAAGACGTCTCCACACACTTGTGGGAGAGGACAGAGGAGAGAGAGACTTCAAAGAGATTCTCCAGCCCACTCCAGAGACCCTCACCAAGCCCCAGAGAAGGCAGCACAGTGGTAGGAATAGGGCCCAACTCAGTCCAAAAGGTAAGCTCTGTGGAAACAGACAAGGGGTTGAAGGAATTAGAGACCTCGAGATTTGGAGCAGTCAGCTCTAGAGAGGATGGGCCAGACTGTGGTCCTAAGTCACACTTCATCACAAATCAGAGGGCCCTCTTACAGGAGACCCCCTATGTTTGCAGGGAGTGTGGGAGAGGCTTTAACCAGAAATCCCTTCTCTTTATGCACCAGAGAATACACTCTGGGGAGAAGCCTTACATACACATGGAGGGTGGGCAAGGCCTGAGCCAGAAGTCAGGCCTCATCAGACATCAGAAGACACACTCCGATAAGAGACCTTATGTCCCCAGTGAGTACGGCCAAGGCTTTAACTGGAAATCAGTCCTCATTATGCACCAAAGGACACACCCGGGGGGGAAAGCCCATGTGTGCAAGGAGTGTGGGCGAGGCTTTGACCGAAAATCCAATCTCATCAGACACCAGAGGACACATTCGGGGGAGAGACCCTACATGTGCCTGGAGTGTGGCCGAAGCTTTAGCCAGAAGTCAGGCCTTCTGCTCCACTTGGGGACACACTCCGGGGAGAAGCCACACGTGTGCAAGCAGTGCGGGCGGGGCTTCAGTTATAAGCAGAGCCTCATTCGACATCAGTGGACTCACTCAGGGGAGAAGCCCTATGTCTGCAGCGAGTGTGGCCGAGGCTTTGGGGATAAATCCTCCTTCGTCAGACACCAGAGGACACATTCAGGGGAGAAGCCACATGAGTGCCAGGAATGTGGCCGGGGCTTTAGCCAAAAGTCAAACCTCATCACACACCAGAGGACACACGCCCTTGGGAAACCCTGTGTGTTTCTGAAGTGCAGCCAAGGCTTTAGTCAGAAGCCAGGCCTTCTGTTCCACCAAGAAGCACACTCAGAGTTGACTACCTGTGTTTGCAGTGAGTGCGGCCAAGGCTTCCCCCAGAAGTCAGACCTCGCCCGACACCAGAGGATACACTCCGGTGAGAAAGCTTACGTGTGCCTGGAGTGTGGGGAAGGCTTTAGCCAGAAGTCAGGCCTCCTCCTCCACCTGGGGACACACACAGAAGCCACACGTGCAGGCAGAGTGGGTGAGGCATTCGCGCTAAACAAAGTCTCCTTGGAAATCAGCAGGCTCCCTCAGGAGAAGCTAGGTTTCCAGTGAGTGTGGTGAGAGCTCTCGAGAGAGATCAGACCGCATCAGACATCAGAAGATAGACTCAGATGAGAAATGGTGTATTGACAGTTAAGTGTGGCTGATGGTCTAACTGTAAATCACACTTTCTCATACACCAGAGGACACCTCATAGAAACTCTGTGTGTTAGGCTGGGTTCTCCAGAGAAGCAATACCAATGGCACTTAGGTGTGTAAATAAAGACATTCATCCAAGAAAATGGCTCACACCATTGTAGAGACAGGTAAGTCGAGCCCAGGTTGAGTCCATGGGTCAAAAGTCAATCTGGAGGCTTTTCCTAACTTATGTACCTGCTGATGCTCCAAAACCCGAAAGAAAGAAGGTTGCAGGCTGGCAGAGGCAGAGGCAAATGGATCCCAGGTCAGCAAGTCAGGTTTGTGACTGCAGGGCCAAATGAATCCAAGGTTGGTCGGCCATATGGTAGGCTGCTGTTGGTTCAAGTCCAAAGAGCCGGAGGTCGATGAAACAGATGCAGGAGCCAGCAAGAAGCTAGCTTCCCCCTAGTGTCGACTTATATGGGAGTAAGCCACACCCTGTGAAACTCCCTTCCAATTGTGTCAGGGTTGCGACCTAATCAGGGGATCGCGATCACCCTGATCTTCCCACAACTGCTTGGTGGCTCACTTCAGAGCCCATCAGAGACTTGAATATATCAGATCAGTCTGGGGCAGGCCTCGAATGTCAAATGGCAGAAAAGCCTGCTCCAGTGCATTTGACACAAAACCGGACCATCACACGCATTCTGGCTTTCAAGAAGGGTGAGCACGTATTTGGAGAAAAGGCACGCTTCATTATACATCAGAGAATGACTTAATTTGGGGGAGGAAAAGCAGTATGTGGACAGGGAAGTTGCACTTCCTCTTACTCCGGAAGACACACTCAGGGCAGAATCTATGGAGGGAGCTTTCTTTCAGCGACCCCCATCAACTGACTTTGGGAGGACAGAATTTTGCCGTCACGTACATTGCTTCACCCACCTCTGAGGGAGTTTCAGAAGTCTCCAGACTGCCTACGCTCCGAATGAGGGTGAAGGTGTCAATAGTAACCAAATAGACTAGAAGAGTAGAACAGTTTACTTCGCGATCTAAGGATGGTTTGGCTTGTTTTGTTATACACCAGTTCTTCCCCATGTTTTCTTTGTCCCTTTGCTGTAGTAAAATCTTTCTCTAATAAACCAGAATTCAGGCTGTGTTGCTCATCTGTCCCGAAAGATACATGCAGTTAAAATTTACAAAGTTTCTAGAATTATTTCAAACTTTGAAAAGAAGAAGAAGAAGAAATCCTAAATACACTCATGGGAGAAGCCGATCCTTTGCATGAGCAGAGGCGTGGTCTGGGATTTGGGGACAGGTGCCAGTTGAAGGGAGGGGACATCCAAAGCGGGTGAATAAGCAAATGTGGTGAAGAAAGCTGATGGTGCCCGGCTATCAAAAGATATAGCATCTGGGGTCTTAAAGGCTTGAAGGTAAACA